ACAAAGGATCCATTCACAATAACGACTCGAAAAATTCAATTCATTTCAACGTAAGACATTTTTTTATTGAATTTCTTGTATTCCAAAATTCACATCGAAATTCGAAATCATACATTGCCTTGCAAAACATTTGTGCACTTTTCCCAAGTTAATATTGAGCATTTCTGGCAAAATTTGTGTAACGAAAATTTGTAATAAATAGTTCTCACCGGACTATTTGCTCAAAAATCTCTTCTAATGTAGGTTATCAAATACAAAATACCCCTAATAATAATTTTGGGTATAACCAAGTCTTACGGAATGTACTTTATATAGAGTAGAGCATATAAAGATGCTCCCAAAAAGTTCTCCGAAAAAGTCTCAGGATGTCCATAATGAAATATAAATCCTTAGTAGGGTACTTAGTGTATCAAAGATCTACAATAGCTCGTTATATTTTAAATACTCCATGAAATATAGAAGACTAGTCGAATATGTTGATATATATTGTACAGACGTTTTTCCGAATGACGTATTATGGTCTGATATACTGGATAAAATGCCAGCATCTACAGCTTTCCTACAAAAAGATCATAATCTATGGCCTTTAACCTCATATCAAATCGTATTTGCTTTACTTAAGAATACTAGTGCTTCGAGGTGCTCCAGTCTTTGTTTGATGTAAAAAGACATATTTCCTGTCAATTCTCGTCCTCGGAGGTTCATTCGACAGCGATATTCACCGTCGATGTAGATCGGCTCGTAGATCTTTCGAATTTTTTTCTGGCTCATCTGTTTGTGAAAGTACCCATGCTTCAGGTCCATACACCAGTACGGATAGCATCAGCGCCTTGTAGAGTGTGAGTTTGGTCTGGCGAGAGGTAGCCATAGTAACATCTGTCGACCAACACAATTTTCCTCCGAATTTCAAAACTGATGTCATTAGTTTTATTTATGGCCGTAGCGAGATATATAAAATCCTCGACTACCTCAAAGCTATAGTTTTAAAATTCCACAGTTGGTCAGAGCCTACTGGACGTCTTGCGCGTTGAAACCATCAGCATGGTCTTTTTTGCCATTTGTTCAATGGTGGTTGTTACCGCTCGCAATATTCGATTTATTATGTCGATGTCGTCGGCGAGTATCATGTGCTGCTTGATGTATAGATTACCATTTCTTTTAACCTTTCCATCTCGTATGACCTGTTTGCAACATGATGGTAAACAGTCCACATGACAAACTGTTACCTTGTCTGAATCCTCGTTCGGTATTGAAGGGCTCCAAGAGATCCTTTCCGACTTTAACTAATGCCGTATTAATTTTGCAAGAATGCCGAACGCAAAAATGGCTTTAAACACTTCTGAGCGGCTTTGTAGTCGACGAATATGTGGAATCTGTCGTTATGTTTTTCGTGTGCATTTTCCAGGATTTGGCGTAGGTCTATAGTAGATTTGCTGCTTTATTATTCTTCAGTCGATTGATTGCTATTCTGGCCTCATCTTGGCTAGGTGGCATACACTCTATACCGTCATCTCTTATTGGTTCTAGGGTATCTTCTTCACCTTCACAATTTGATACCAGAAGCTTTTAAAAATGCTCCTTCGAAATCCTCAACACGCGGATGATGTGACTGCCTCAAGTCAATCGGTTTGTTTTAAAATTTCCGGACTTCATTCTGACTCCTGTACGTCTCGATTTGCTCACGGGTTTCTTGCTTTTCTTTTTTCCCTTAAAGCAATTCGATCATCCACTATAGTGAACCCTTAGACGAGGTCTTTTATTATCCAGTTAGCCATAAATCCGCTGCCAAATTCATGTCTCTTTTCATGACAGCTGTAATACAGTGCGCAATCGTCTGATTTACTTACACCTGTCCCTTTCCATCGCATTTCCTGCAAGGCAATAATATCGGCATTGTACTTCTTGAGAATATCCGCCAAAGCGAAAACTTTCGGTTCAATGTGCGCACATTCCAAGTGCAGATTCGCCGATATTGGTACTTTATGCGGTTGCGGGGGTCGTCAGCATTAGGGGGTAAGATGGGTTTTCCGAGTATGGGCAATTTACCCGATGCCTCAACCTATTCTTATAGTGCTTATGGGTGAACATGCGGCACATATTTGCTTACTATTTCAACGATTGTTGAAAGTAGCAGGTTACGCCCCGAGGAGGTCCGTGTCCCCAATTGAGATGAAAGAGAGACCAAGATAAGCCTGGGTTTTGCCATGTTAAAGCCAATCATAGCCGTTCCTTGGTATCTATCATCCCCTACGTTTTTCCCATGATCACAACTCTATTTCGGCCTTTAGACTTTTCAATACAAAAAATCGATAAATCGGTTAATTAAAAGTCGAGTGAACTAGTTGTGAACTTGCAATGTTTTTGCTCATTTCGTATGTCATCTTATCTACCTCTTCACTTAGACCCTGGATGTTTGCTTTCGCTTTCTGACTATTGGACGAGTAAGCCCTGGAGAATAAACGACACTCACACCAGCCCGACATCGTAAATTTATTATTTTCATTGGCTGTAGTTTTTAAGGGAAACACCCTCGTAATCAGTATTGGTTCGTGAGAATAAAGCCTTTAACTGGCCCAGTCTACCCTGTAGGTAGGAGACTGTTCTTTTTATAGATCTATAAAGATCTTCTTAATTCGTTGGTCCAGTTATTATACCCTACACAACTATTTTGTCAGGGTATTATAGCTTTGTGCAGCCCCAGAAGTTTGTAACGCTGCGAAATATTGGTCCTAGACCCACCTTTAAGCATACCGATCGTCATATCTCGAATAGATGAGTTGATCTAGACATGTGTGTCCGTCCGTCCGTCTGTCCATTAAAATTTGTAAACACGATACAGGCCACAGTTATGGATAAATCTTCACGAAATTTTGCATGTAGGATGGGTTCTGGCCGATGAAGACCCCTATTGTTTTTGGTAAAGATCGGTTAATATTTAGGGGATGAAATGGACCAAAAACTTATTTTATTTCTGGTCGCTTCAGAGGCCGCAATTATGGTACAAACATCTCGAATTTTTGCATGGAGGAGGGGATCGGGCCAAAGAAAAGGCATGCCTGTTTTGATAATGATCGGTCAATATTTAACGGGTCAAATGGACCCTGAGTTTTGTGTGAAAAATGACCAAATTTGTATTCAATGGCGTATATATTTACTCCTGAAGGACATAGACCCAAGATATTGATAGTATATCCAAGAGGAGTGGTTGGCCTTTAAATTGATACCAATTATATGTTGTATGTGATCGGATGTGGAAGTTACACTTAAATATTTACAGGTGCTTACGTACTCAGATATTATTTAGTAACCCATTGCCACACTATATGGCGGAAATATAGCGCTGATCGCTTTTAAATTTTTCATGAGGTTCCAGATATGTTCAATGACAACAGCTATAATTTTCGACGATGATCAGATAATAATTTTGGGATGAAGTGGACCAAAAACATGACTTTTTTTGAGTTTTTTTTTCTAGTCGATCTATAGGCCACAACAACCCACGATGAAGGGAATATGAAGAAGTAGTTAAAAGGACTGTATTGAATATTAGTAATATTCGGAAAATATGTCAATGTAAGGAAGAGGTGCTTTTGGCCTCTTATCGGGAAAGAGTGTGCAACTCTAACGAACTATTGCTCAAGCTCGGAATAAAACTTGCAGAAAGATAGAGTTCCATGATAGTTGTGTAGGGTATCGTATGGTCGACCCCGTCCGACTATACTGCTCCGCTCACTGGTTTATGAATTTAATTCAGTTCAAGTTTATTTCAAAAAATATAAAATGGAATTTAATTTCAAAAATTAGGCAAATTTTTTGTTAAATTTAATTTTCTCCAAAATTTTGCTCTTAACTGTATTACAATAAAAAAATCTATCAATAACATGTTAAAATATATTTTCATCCTCATCATCTGACTATTTTTTGATAATACTAAAACAACAACATATTTTATATATCAAAAATATTATTCCAGTCGGTACAAAAATTAATGTATGAATCTGGACAAATATCATCGGTAAGTGGCTGCTTGTAGAAAACAAACAAACAAAAAATAATAATAGAGGCGATTGCTATAGTTGTTTTTGTTACAATAAAAAAATACGCAAATGCAAAGAAAACAAAAAACTGCTAAATTTTCATTATTTGTTTCATTTTCTCTTTCAATGCCAAATCACGACAAACCAAAAATAAAACTCGAAACATTTTCATTCATTACAGAAATAATAGACAATATGTACACAAAAAAAAAACAGAAACTTTTAAAACATTTTCAAAATCATACGCAAATCTACATATAGAACAATTAGATACATACTAATATATCGTATGTTCGTTAAATTACATACATTACAATTATCGAGTAGAGGTTAAAATATATATATATATATATGTGAATGTTTGTATCTCACCTGACATGTGTTAAATTTGAAATATTGATATCATCAATTTAAAAGAGCATATATGAATCATCACTTTATTAAATACAAAAACAAAGAATTGAAATAAAAAAATGGGCGAGTTTGGCATAATTTTTCAATTTGCAAATAAAGGGCAGGCGCTCCTTGGTGTAAACAAAGCAAAGAAAAAAAACACATAATTGGTCCCATAGCAAACTCGCTTTGATCATCATCATAATCCGGCAATCAATCATCTATCTATCGGTGTGTGTAATCATCATCATATTTACATCAGCATCATCATCATCACAATTAATTATTTTTTTTTATAAAATGCATCATCACCATCATCTGCATACAATTTTCTAATAACGTTTTGTTTTCCTGCTGGATTTATTTCGCTTCTTTTCACTTAACTGGATTTACTACTAAAAATAATAAAAACAAAACACAACTTGCAAAACATAAAAAATTAAAAGTCTATTTTTCCAACTGTGTACTGAATAATTTTTCTATAAATATTTACTTTTGTGTCCAATCCAAATAAAAAAAAAAAAACAAATCAACCAACCAACCAAACCACAACCAATGTCCACACTTAAGCAGACAACATTTGGTCGCACAACACTAACCACTTCCCAGGAACTGGAACGGGCCACCGAGCGGGCCGACAAAGCGGCAGCCGAACTAAGACGTACCCAAGCCGAGCTGAGAGTCACTCAGGTATATTCAGCGTTTTTAGATATTTTCAAAACAAAATCAAATATATTTTTCGAAAAATATATATTCCACAATTTGTTTTCAATTATTATTCTTTGTTTTTTTGTACTCTCTTATTTGTGTGTGTTTCTTTTTTGAGTTTTGTTTTTTTACATATTCATACTACAAAATATATATCATACAATATGTTTTTTTGATTAAATCTTTCACCAAAAAAAAAAACAAAATTATTTATTATTATAAATTTTATTAAAAAATAAAAAAACATATATAATTAAAATAATTAAAAATGAAAACTAAATAAAAAAATATGCCCTAAATTTGGTGGATCTGTTTCTGAGGGTCGAAAGAAATTGAGGCAAAAGAAGTCCCTTGTGGACATCTATATAATACTATATATGTAGGATTTTCGTCGATAATGTTTTATTTATAAAATCAATCCCTTAAAACATTTTTGTTATTTGAATTTTACCTTGTAAGGACAGTGATCATTTGAAAGTTATTTCAAATTATTTGGTTATTTATACTCTTTCGAGTCGAGCTTGATGATCTAAGTTTTGCAATGAAAAGTAAAGCCAGGAGAAGAACCTACGTACCCACCATTATGCGACGCGTTTCGCCGTTGGTTAAGCGGCTCATCGGGCATATTGGGCTATGTGGCTTTACAAAGGTCATACGTTGATAACTTCTATTTATTCCGCCCTGATGCGAAACTTACATATTCGAATTAAATCCAAAATTTGTCAAAGTTCGACATTTGTCTTCATTCTAGGAACAGTCCTTTTCAAAGCAGATTTTTTTTTTTTTTTTTTTTTGTAGCGATGGATAATTAATCCACACACCTACAATTTCTTCCATGGTATACACATGTTTTTGCGCAACCGTTTTGGAAGTGTGTTGATGGCTCAGAACGTTAAGTGGTCTGACAACATTTGTGTTGCTTCGAGGACCTAGGATCGAGCCCTAGCCTGGCTCAGCTGAAATTAATTTTTGTTATTTGAATTTTGCCTTGTAAGGGCAGTGATCATTTCAAAGTAATTTTAAGTGATTATTTATACTCTTTCGAGTCGAGCTTGATGATCTAAGTTTTGCAATGAAACATTTTTGCGAAATTAGTGTTTCGCAGTGTTTTATACCCTTCACCCCACTGTGGTACAGGGTATTATGTCATTGTGCATATGTTTGTAACAGTCAAAAGGAATCGAGATAGACACATGGTTCCTTTTAAGAATATTCATATAATCACTTTCTAAGTCGATTTATGCATGTCCTTCCGTCCGTCTGTCCGTTTGTAGATATTAAATTGTAAACAAAGTACAGGTCGCATTTATGATCCGATTTGGATGAAATTTGGCACAAGTCACTTATTTGGCCCAAAGACGAACCCTATTGAAGTTCAAGAAAATCGGTTCAGATTTAGATATAGCTCCCATACATAGTGTGGTCCGATTTAAAGTAAATGGTGCGCCAAAGTCCCTATATATCTTTCGATTTGCACGAAATTTGGTATAACGTACTGAATTGAGCCTAGAATGATGTCTTCCAAGTTTCGTGGAAATCGGTTCAGATTTAGATATAGCTCCCATATATAGTTTTGTCCGATTTAAGGTAAATGGTGCACCAAAGTCCCTTTATATCTTTCGATTTGCAAGAAATTTGGCATAACGTACTGAATTGAGACTGTAGTTATGTCTGCCATGTTTCGTGATAATCGGTTCAGGTTAAGATATAGCTCCCATATATATTTTCGTCCGATTTAAAGTAAATGGTGCACCAAAGTCCCTATATATCTTTCGATTTGCACGAAATTTGGCCTAACGTCCTGAATTGAGACTATAATGATGTCTGCCATGTGTCGTGATAATCGGTTATGATTTAGATATAGCTCCCATATATAGGTTCATCCGATTTTATGTAAATGGTGCACCAAAGTCCCTATATATATCTTTCGATTTGCACGAAATTTGTCTAACGTACTGAATTGAGCCTAGAGTGATGTGTGCTAAGTTTCGTGGAAATCCGTTCAGATTTAGATATTGTTCCCATATATATTTTCGTCCGATTTAAGGTAAATGGGGCACTAAAGTCCCTTTATATCTTTCGATTTTCAAGAAATTTGGCATAACGTACTGAATTGAGACTGTAGTTATGTCTGCCATGTTTCGTGATAATCGGTTCAGGTTAAGATATAGCTCCCATATATATTTTTGTCCGATTTAAGGTAAATGGGGCACTGAAGTCCCTATACATCTTTCGATTTGCACGAAATTTGGCATAGGTTACTGAATTAGGTACAGAATGATGTGTGCTAAGTTTCGTGAAAATCGGTTCCGATTTAGATATAGCTCCCATATATATTTTCGTCCGATTTAAAGTAAATGGTGCACCAAAGTCCCTATATATCTTTCGATTTGCACGAAATTTGGCATAGGGTACTGAATTAGGCACAGAATGATGTGTGCTAAGTTTCGTGAAAATCGGTTCCGATTTAGATATAGCGCCCATATATATTTTCGTCCGTATTAGCAACTTCATATTTATTATTTTATTTTTATCCAGAATATATCTATTCTCCGGATAGTAAATAGAAATATTTAAATTAAATTTTGACCCTGGCAATCGAAACTCGATTCATTGAGACTTCTTTTAAATTGGATCTTAAACTATAGAACGTTAAAAAAAGCCTTTCTTTTTCCACCTTCTTCTGGTCGTTGCATCACTTCCCTGGTCAGCGGGGTTCCAAAGATGGAATTACTTTCTTTTAAATTTTGTTAAAATTATTGTCGTTGTATAAACCACTACATACGCTTTTTCGAATAACTTATTCGAATTAAAAAAAAAACTGTTCACAAAATAATTTCAAATTTTTGAGCTCTTTATTCTACATTGCTTCTGTATTTTTTTTTTCTTTGTAAATTTTCCATTAAGCTGACAGAATTTCTTCAACCTTTTAGGTAAAATTTTTCAGCATCAATTTCCTTCACAATCGGTCACTGATCCGGCTCAAAAGACCAATGATAACTGGGATCTCTATTGTACGGATATTCTCCGAACGGAGTGAAAGCAATGTTTATTCAGTCTATGTGTATTTATACACTACTTTAAAAACTAAGTATCATAATATGATTGAACCTATGTGTAAGACAGAGAGATAGAGTGCAAGTTGGACTGGAACCTTCAAACTACCAAAGATGGTCACTGCAGGCCTGAGAGACCCCATAGATCTTCTTAGAATTATAACAAATACACCATCATGTTTCCTATAGATAGTATAGCCTTTAAGTATTGTATGTTTGGATGTTTTCATTTCGGTCATGGGTAGATATTCCATCCATAGAAACATTTTGTCTGTTATGTCATAGAATACCTATATATAGAAACCATAATTTATCCACAGAAGACCTCTTCTATACATAAGAATCCTTCTGCGACTAGAACGCGTCTTGTATTCATAGAAAGTAAGTTGTATTCTTTCAAAATTAAACTTAGAATCTATTTCTCCTATGCCATATGGCTTACAATGAAGGAGACTACGAACTATTTTATTTCTAGCGCCGCATTTGGAATGCTAGGCGAATCTTTTAAAGAAACTAGTACTTATACATACTCTTCAAACTTTACGTGCCTTAAAAATTTAAAAAAATAGGTCAGACTTAAGTTAACTTAAAACTACCTTAAAACTAAAATGATGATGATAGTACATCAGACAGCCTTCTTCGTCGTAAAGATTCCCCCGTCTCGCAGCTTCAGCAAAGCTGCAGGAGGAAGGTGTTTCCTTCTAACTATGGAGTGGAGTTACTCGTTGCCCTCCAGGTATCGCTCCACTATTCCATTTTCCACAAGCTGGCTCCTTTCCAGGAAGTTGAGGGCATATTTCATCATGCAGACATCGATTCGGTTGAAGTCGATTGCATTGTAGATGTTCCTATTGGCCGGACGTCTATATATCCCATTGCTATCCAGTGTTGGTTCCATTCCTACGCATGATGCTAATATATTTTTCTCCCACATTCTAATACTTTCCACCTGGGCAGATGATATGTCTGCCCATGCTGCAAAGGAGTAGGTGATGATGGGACGAATCACTTGCTTGTATATTAGCAACTTTACCACCGAAGAAAGTCATCCTCTCATTCGAAAGAGTCTTTGATAGGCAAAGTTCATCTTTTTGGCCTTTGAAAGCACATACTCCACATGGCGACAGAAGTCGAACCTTTCGTGCAGTATGATTCCAAGGTATTTCATCCTATCTGACACTTCAATGAATTCATTGCCTTCCTTTATAGTTTGAATGTATTTCCTGAAGCTCTTTGCAGTGGACTTGGGTTTCCCTTGAAAACCACAGTTACACACTTTCCAACATTGAGTTTGAGTTCCCATTTGTTGAAGTGTTTCCATGTACACATTCAATCTTCTTTCCACAGTGCTTCCAAAACGGCCTCGTAGCGCAAGTAACACATCATGAACGTACGTAAATCACTACCTTGCCATGTTCTCCTATTTATACTTCGTTCCCTCTCGCCACAGAGATTTATCAACGATCTAGTAAAATCTCTTCAAATTTTTTTCGGACGGCAACACTGCTGGAGAGAATGTGGAATATAGAGAGCTTGACAATGATGTCACTAGTGCTCTTCTTTCTACAGAGAGCCTCTTCTATCTACAAAAAATTTCTCCTATCCCCAAAAATGTCCAAAACAAAAACTCAATAGTTCTTTCGACACTCTGAAACAGCCAATACCATTTATACATATACAATTATTTTATTTCAAAACAATTATGTCTGCATTTAAATTAAATCTCAATGTGAACACAGCCATCGGCAGCATTATGAAAAATTGTGTTATGTTTTACGTATATTTTTGTCTTCTTACAATTTTGTTTTAAGTGGTGTTAAAATAATTATCATTGGAATGATATTCAAATAATGCAACAACAACCAAAAATACACTTAGTAAATCATACAAATTCAATTCTTTATTCCGAAAATTAACAACAACAAA